AAAAAAAAATCGTGTAAGTAAATCACCATAATGTCTATCTTCTGGCAAAGGCGATTTTACTATTTGACTTATAATTACTCATAAAAAAAATTATTGTCTTGGTTATTACATCATGCTCTCTATTCTCGCAAAGGTTCTCATGTATGCCATAGAGCTCACCTACTTTTAAGGTCAATTAAGTAGCACCAATGAACAAACTTGGATCCAACAATAACATAGATTTGAAATTCCTATTATATATTTGATTGATCGATGTCATAAGCTATTCTTATTGGCTTCAATCAGGAGTCTATTTGAAATTCAATTGTTCATGACAAGGAGAAGCACTTTTGTATTTAATAACATAATATTGGAAGCTTCGAGAGGAATCAAATATAAGATTTGATACAAATCAAGTTCTTGTTTCTTCTGTGAATAGAGTTTTATTAAGCTTGTTTCATCTGTAATGCATATGTTTGTAATTGTGCATTTATATAATGCATATTTTCTTTACCTAGTCATATATTTATATTTTTATTATAACTACTTTAATGGCCAACATTAAAAACACAAATTGATTGTAAACTTCATTAAAATGATGAGTCGTTTAATTTCACTGATCTTGTTATATGATTGGCCAACTAAGTGTTATTGTACGCTTGTGAGAGAAATCGATTTATATAAGTGTTACAACCCAACATCTAATTTGGAATAATTGTTTTATTTTATCCTATAATTATATCCCACAGCATGTACATATCGTACATCTATCATATCCATAATAATCATGGATATCGTCATATCAATAAAACACATAATACATCATTGATTAGAAAATAATGAAACAACTAACAACATAAATAAATATCTATATCAAGCTCTGATCAATCCTCACTTCATTGGGGCCTTATCCCTCCATGACACATGTAAACCACATAATAAGCTAACAGCCCAATAGTTCAAATAAAACTTACAATTATATTTAATGCAAAAAATAGAAATAATATACATGTAATGATTCAGATTAGATTAGTTGAACAATCAGTATGAATAGTAAACATATGATGGATCAATAACCTATGTTTGAATCTTATTCTAGTGTATCATGTAAAAGGTGATATGAAATGTTATCATATGCATCAACGCAATTGTATCAATTATATCAATGAAGTTTATAAACTACTCATGTGGCTACACAATATGCAATGCAATATTAATCAAATTAGTGCGTATCAATTATAAAAACAATATAACTATCATCTATATTATTAATGCAACATGTCTATGTTATATTAATATCAATGCATTATGTATATGCATGTGAAATTAGTTATTAAAGCATGTGGTGTCTCTACTATATTAGTTATCATTATTTATAAAAGTCAATGTTATAAATGTCATCAGTTATATCACAAACACTGTCAGTTATATCTATAAACCCATGATTATTTGTGTATGAACTCGTTCGTAAGTGTCTTGTAGGTTGCAATCTGGTTAAGCGAAAGGACGGTGCACTCCTCTCTCCGAACAACTCATTCGAGGGACTCATTTAGGAGCTAGAAGGAGCTTAACACTAGTGTATGGTTAACCAAGACTAGTCGCATCCTTCAAGCGATTGTCTCCCCCTATAGGAGAAGGGCAATCTCAGTAATTCCTTTCTTAGCTAGACTGGTCTTTATTCAGATAAGTCAGAGCTAAGACTCCCATACAAGATACACCAAGCAGCCAACAGTTCACATTACCACTTCAAATATCTCCCTCTCATGTTCGCCTGAAGACCACATTCTTGAAATATAACTTTCATTCAAATGAATGAAGAGTAAACATATACAAAAACAGCCAAAGGCCGAAACCTAATGCTTCCCAAAACAAGAAAACTAAAAGAGTAAGCAAACACTACAGAACAAGTACAACAACAACAAACACAGGCAAAAAAGGAAAATACAATAAAGGCAAAGAGGGAGCCCGATGGAGACCAACAAGCCACACCCCTAACGCAAACCCAAGGAGGACTGGGGTGGCGTGAGCAGGGACGTTATATACATGCAAGGATGCAACTCATACATTATTCTAAACCATATAAAAGGGGGAGGAAAGAGGAGAAAACATCCTTTTTTGGGTGAGGAACCTCTGGAGGAACATATGTGAGAGCACATACCATGCCAGAAAAAGAAACGAGAGAAGAGATTCATAAAGCATTTTCCTTGCATGGCTCAAGCTCTATAGCACAGAACCCTTACTTCTATTATTCTTGTATCTTTGTCTTGAATAATATAGATATTGTCTAAATCCATTTTTCTCTCCTTCTCTTACACTCAGAGTTCATCACCTTCTCCCCGCCTTTACTCAGCCTATAGATAGCACAAAGTATGATTCCAGCATCAACCACTGAATAAACATAAAACATGCTATGTCATTTAGGATCTTACCTCATGTAGTGTTTTTCCTATATCAGTCATATCAAGTTCTGTAAATTATATCAGTCATATATTACAGCAATCAATAAGTCAGATGTATTCATGTAAGAAGTCTTCACTTTCTGTCCATCAATATATCATATCATATTATTGTCAATCTTTGTATGCCTACATTCATATCATTTAGGATGACACTACAAATTATTATTTAAAAGATTGTTCATCGGTGTATCCTCCTATACTATGTAACATGTATTTAGCCAACCCGAATTAATCAAATCTCTAGCCAACCTTTCTTGTAGATACACACATATGTCATATCATATATTTATCATTTATAATAATATTATCATATATCGTGTCATGCATAGAATCTAAATAAGAAGTATTACACATTTAGTTTCCCTATATTGTTATTTAGATATCTAATAACTATAAGCATTATTTTATTAAGTACATTGAATTATTATTACCTACTTTTAAAACTCAATTAAATACATAATAAGTGAAATATTTGAAAATTAGATCGATGGGTGTTACTTTTTTTATTTGCTGAGAGTTAATTAGAAGTTTTGTGGTATGTTTAATTTAAAGAAAAAAAATATGAAATGTCCCAAGCTTTTGATCTTGGGCTTGATCTATCGCCCTTCAACGTGATATAATGTCCTGTCTGTGGGTCATATTGGGTTGGGTTGTGACAGTGTCCTCCTAATACTTGCAATCCCCATTTGACAACTATTAACGAGGGAGATAAAACAATGAGTAGTGTCTCTACATGTGAATTCAATGATAGCGCTGATGAATATGGGTTACCTTCTAGTAAAGTTAGCTTTTTAGCCATGTTGTTGAGCACAATCTTAATAGAACTTATTCTATCATAACTATCAATATGGAACATGATTTCCAACAATGAATATGTTCATGTTTGCCAAACATTAAAAGAGTAGGATGAGGAAATTATTTTTTGATGGGTCGTGTAATAATACCCTTATTTCATAAGCAATTTATATATTATATGAGCTTTTCAAAGATATGTGTTTCCCAAGTAAAAAATAGATACAATTTGTGTAGTATGGTTGGTCAATTATTCATAAAGTTAAGTTTCAAAGTTTATCTTCAAATAAGAAAAAAATTACTAGGAGATGTGTACAACATTATATCCCATCTACACCATGTATGTGGTGTTTATATACGTCTTGTCGCAATCATTTGAATGCTACTTGGAGAGTATCTACTTTAGGCACCCCACATACATGCACGAATCCTATGATGGTTACAAGACATTAATAGTAAAATTATAGATTTATTAGCTCCTTCATATTGCTTGTGATTAGATAGCAAATAGATCTAAAGCCAAGAGAAATTAGTGTAGTAATGTAAGCAAAATTCAATATCCGAGTCTCTATATGAAGACTTGCGATGCAAGACAAAAGACAATCAAGGCAATTTTTAGCAGCTGAGAAAAATCATATTGTTCAATTAAATTATTTATGGAGACCATATATTATGTTATGCCTTAAACAACTTACAAGGTGCAATCAAGTGATTTGTAGCATTTTCAAAGGATTTTATGGACATTTGAGCCTTTTGTATGGGGTTGCAGATTTTTCCAACCTATTTTGAACAATAATGGAACCTTGTTGTTAGGCAAGTATAAGTAAACTTTATTGATTGTTTCTTTGGAATTGATGATAATAATGATTTATTTTTGTTAGCAACCACAATTATAGAATCCAAGTGCAATGAGTTGTGGATTTGATTTCTTCGTTAATTTCATGAATTAATTCTCACTTTTCATTCAAGGAGAGATCTATGCGTCATTTTTGACAAACATGCAAGCTTAGTTCTTGGTAACTGATATATATTTCCATGGGTTGTATATCACCATTACTAAAGACATCTAAGAGAGAACTTCAAGAAAACAATATGAAAAAATGGGTATAGTAGAAGTAGACTTTTTGTGTTAGAAAATGTACTTCTTTAGTAACACTGATGACATCTAAAAGTTCAATCAATGTATGATTGGTATAAGAAGAGCAAACATCTTCATGTAAGCTCACCCAGCTTAGCTATAAGAAAACACCTACCTTGAAGGTCCAACTCACCCTATCGAGACCAACCACCGAGCTCACCCTTTTAGACACTTCATCTCATTTGTCATATCTCTTAAGGCGACACAAGGCTCAATATCGATTACCCACAGTTCCAAGTCAACACCAAGTCACCAAGCTCACCTTGCTTAGGAAACACTTGCAAACTCACTCGTTCTCACTCAGCATCACAGAACTTACATGCATTATTAAGCTTGCCTAGAGACAACTCATCAAGGCTCTACAGTTCCCTCTCTCCCTCAGCCAACGAGAAGGCGACACGTCTCGAGTATTTTGTCTAGTGTTGTGCTTTTTTATTTTTATGAATGCAGACTTTCTAGTCATCCGAACCCTTTAAATAATGAGCGAAGATGAGCATTTTGGATCTTTTGCTGTATATTAGATCAATTGGCTAATCTTTACTAGATAGTGAACTTTCATTATGAGTTTTTTCTAGTTTTTCTATAGCTTTACTCTCCACTCACCACTCTCCATTCTCACACAAGTTTCAACCTACTAACTCACCAGATAGGCCTGCCAGTAAACACATACACAAATGGATTCAACAAGTACATATCAAAGTATGACCTTAGTTGATTTCCAATGACAATCCAAGCCTATTATTCCATCAAAAGATTTTATTAGACAAACAATAAGATAGTCACAGAAGCAACTTCAGATCAATATATTGGGACAATGAAGAAGTTTGATGATAATGCGAATGATAGAATTTCACATGAATCGGTATATGCCACTTTTACATGTTGTGCAACATTTGGTATACTCTCCATTTCAAGCATTTTAGAACTGCATTTAGCATCATTTTTTTTTTTTGTTTCACGCCCTTCTGTTATGCTGTGTGCTCATGTCATGCTGATTAAGGAACAGCATGCATGAAACTTAGGTTTCTTTTGGGACGATTTTTTTACTGCTTCTTAAATCAAATTTTTATAAAAAAATTATTATAAAATTAGTAAAAAGGACGTCCCAAATAAAACCTTAGTGCACTATAAGATGTTAAATCACGCTGCATAAATATTGAGGTTGAAAAAACAAAATGTTACAAGTACAGTGTTGAAAAGGGGCAACAAATAATAACTAATACCATTTTATATGGGATTTCCCAAGGCTCATGTGGAAAAAAAAAATAAAAAAAGGAAAATTTTCATATTCCACAGATTGGTTGGCTGTCTTAGAAACCAATATGGAGCTTAAATTCCACCAAACCACCTTCTATGAGAATTTGAAGTTGATCGCTGCAACTTAAAAACACAAAAAAAAAAAAGAACAATCAAATGAGAATGGATAATACCTCTAACCGAATAATGGGTCTGAAATTCATCGCTAAAAAAGACATTCAACCAAACAAAATAAAATGATATACAAGTCCATCACTATGAGAATAGACTTTGCAGATCCACAAGGATTCCAAACTTCATGGAACCAAATGAAACATAAGAAGGCCATTTAAGTCTGGCCATTCTGGTAAGCATGTTACAGCGATAAGTGAAAAATCTCACAATTCTAATACTTGAAAAGGTTTTCTGATAATTATATATAAATTACTCGTTTAACGAGACACCACAAAAACTTCAAAGCCCAACATCTTAATTTTTAACAAACTGTGAGCCTATGCAGATAAATCTCACAAAAAAGCTGGCTTTTTCCAGTAGTAAAACATTTATCCGCAAACCTTGACAACAAATATCATTCTTCGTCATCCTCCTCTGAGCTGCCCACTTCACTGCTATAATCACTGCTATATTCATCCTGGTCTGGATTTATATCAAGCTGCACATACTTGACCTGAATTGGCTCCGGGGCCTTTGGCTGCGGTAGCAGTAATCCTGACAGCAACGGCACACCACCTACACGCTGCTCGTCGCCCTTGTTTACAACCACAACCCCTTCCAGTGGCGGTAATGGTACAGGGTCCCCAGGCTTCCAGCCAGGTGGCACAAGTGGAAGCTCGAGAGGAAGCTCCACTGGCATCCCCTTCTTCCATCCAGGCGGCACAGTGATGGGCAACATGGGCGGAGGAATATGCAAGGGAGCCTCTTCCCGCGGCGGAGTGGGCTCTATGAGCGACTCTGTGATCTTCTCTGCAGCACCCTCCTTGCCCTCTGGGGCCTTCTTTGGTACCCCAACATCAAGGTCAGCAAAGTGATACAACTGTGAAGCGCGCATCTCGTTATCCTGAGGTGCAGGCGGGAGGGCGCCGCGCAGCGGCGCCATGCCAGCGCCGTGCTCCGGCGGGGCAAACGTGGTATAGCTGATTCGGTGGGCGTAAGCTAAGACTTCGTTCAGATCCAACGACGAGTGTAGAGAGGATTGGTAGTCGGCTTCACCGGGTTCCCCCTTCAAGCGCTTGGGATCGCGGCGGTAGTCGGAATAATCGTCGAGGAGGTGATCAAGAACCTGCTCGGCCTCGTGGAGTTTGCGCGTGAAGGCGAGGAGGGTGCTGTCCTTGTTGCGGATCTCGCGAGCTATCTTCAACTTGGATTCTTGTAGATCAAGTATCTCCTGAAGCTCCGCGACGGACTCGAAAAGCTGAGTCTGGAAGGAGGTAAAGAGAGAAAGGACCTCTTTGGTTGTGGTGGGTGGTGAAGGGTGGCGAGGATCGAGGGAGAGAGGTTGGGACTGAGCACCGGGGAGGAAGGTCGGCGGACCTCCGGCGCGGGCGGAGGCCCACAGGGCGCGGTGGGGTGAAACTTCGAAGAGTTTGCCGGAAAGTAAAGCCATCTGAAGGAGAAGGGATTGGGCCCGAGGAAGCGGAGGGAGGAGAGAGAGGAGGGACGAGGACGTGGTGACGGGGGCGGACGTAGAGGAGGCGGAGAAAGGAGTGGGCTTTAAATTAGGGTTAGGGTTAGGGTTAGGGTTAGGGGCTTGGGAGGGAAGCGAGGGAGATGTTGCTTTAGAGAGGCCGAGTCTCGCCGGTGACGGCACGATCGCCTGCGCGTGGCCCTGTAGCATCTTTGCGACTCTCCCTGTTTGCCGACGTTAGGTTTCACGATTTCAGCGGGTAATTGTTGAGGTATTTACGCAAAATAAATAAATAAATAAAAAGGGAAGCCTCGGGCTCTCACGGCGGAGCCGTTATTACGTTCTCCGCGCGGATGCAGAGGAACATCCGGTCCTAGATAAAAAAACGCTTGTATCGAGGTGTACCGAGTTTTTTTAAACTCGGTACACCTCGATACAGGCGTTTTTTTGCCTAGGACCGGATGTTTCTTGCATCTGGTCAATCGAACCAAATAAAAGCGCCTCACGGCGTGAGAGGAAAAATTATTAATCCAAACGAAAAATTATTAGGTGCGGAGTGCATATGGAAAGAGCACCGTCTGCACACACAGGGTACCAAGCGGTACCTAGTGGTACCCAGCGGTACCGAATGGTACCTAGCTGGATTTTATACTAGTGTGCGGACGATTCTCCCCGTCTGCACTCCGTACCTAATAATCTCTCTCCAAACGAAAAATTATTAGGTGCAGAGTACAGACGGGAAGAGCACCGTCTGCACACACACATGGCACCTTATAATCCAAACTAGGGGTGTCAATTTGGGTCAACCCGTCGGGTTCGGGGCGAGGCCGCGGGAGACGGGGCGAGGGCGCGAGGGCGCGACAGCGGGTTCGGCACGCTGCACGCGGGGCAGCGGGGCATGCGGGTGGAAACGGGGGGAAAATCAAATTTTTTTTAAAGTCG